CTGAGCTGTTTGGCACTGGAGCGGGGGCTGGAGAGGGGGCTTTCTCCGGGACAAACGTGTTGTCAGAGGCCTTTGTTCCTTTGGTGAGCCCTTCCCTGGGGCGGCAGACAGTCGCCATATCTGGGACTCCAGCAACCTGGCTCACACTGGTAGCCCCGCCCTGCTGACTCCCTGAGGCCCTGCCCCACCCAACTTTCACGCCCACCCAAGCTGTTGCCACTTGCTTAACCAAAGGATTGGTCTCTCTTGGACCCTGCTTCAGGTTTTTCCTAAATTCTTTCAAACGAGCAGCATCTGGTCTCAGCTAGCCCCATACTGCTCATTAAGTAATACACAGAAACAAACAGAGGGAGGCAGGCAGTCAAAATGAGGAGACAAAGAAACAGGTCCCAAATGAAAGAACAGAACAAAACCCCAAGAAAAGAACTAAGCGAAATGGAGATAAGCAACCTAACAGATACTGAGTTCAAAATACTGCTTATAAGGATGCTCAATGAACTTAGTGAGAACCTCAATGAACTTAGTGAGGGCCTCAAGAGCATAAAAAAGGGCCAGTCAGAACTGAAGGAGGCATTAACTGAAATAAAGAATAATTTACACAGATTCAATAGTAAAGTATGTAAATCCAAGCAGCAAACCATCGATTTGGAATATAAGGAAGCAAAAAACGCCCAATCAGAACAGCAAAAAGAAAAAAGAATCCAAAAAAATGAGGATAGTGTAAGGAGCCTCTGGGACAACTTCAAGCGTGCCAACATTCGCATCTTGGGGGTGCCAGAAGGAGAAGAGCGAGAATAAGAAATCGAAAACCTGTTTGAAACAATAATGGCAGAAAACTTTCCTAACTTGGTGAAGGAAACAGATATACAAGTCCAGGAAGCAGAGAGTCCCAAACAAGATGAACCCCAAGAGGCCCACACCAAGACACATCATCATCAAAATGCAAAAGGTTCAAGACAAAGAGAGAATCTTAAAAGCAGCAAGAGAAAGGCAGCTAGTTACCTACAAGGGAGTTCCCATTAGGCTGTCAGCTGATTTCTCAAAAGAAACTTTGCAGGCCAGAAGGGAGTGGCAAGAAATATTCAGAATGATGAAAAGCAAGAACCTACAACCAAGATTACTCTATCCTGCAAAGCTGTCATTTAGAATCGATGGCCATATAAAGAGTTTCCCAGACAAGGAAACGTTAAAGGAGTTCATCACCACCAAACCGTTATTATATGAAATGATGAAGGGTCTTTTTGAAGAAAAAGATAAAATATATGAACAAACAAAATGGCAATGAATACATACCTATCAACAATGGAATCTACAAACAAAATGAACAGGCAGAACAGAAACACTCTCATAGATAACAGGGAACATTTTGTTGGTTGCCAGATGGGAAGGGGGTTGGGGGAATGGGTGAAAAAGGTGAAGGAATTAAGAAGTACAAATTCATTGCTAGACTGACAAATCTCAAAGGGAAAGGGGTTGGGGGGGGGGGGGTGAAGAAATAAACCAAAGAACTTATATGCATAACCAATGGACACAGACAATAGTGTGGGAAAAGGCAGGAGGGGCGGCGGGAGTGGGGAGGATGGGGTCAATGGGGGAAAAATGAGGAACATCTGTAATACATTCTACATTCAACAATAAAGATTAAAAAAAAAAAAGGAAAATCAGATGAAATATAGACGAAAGAAAAGAATTTTAAGTTATTATTTTTTTATTGCATTTACCTGCATGAAAATATTGCTATGTTTTGGTATGGTAAGCAGAGCACTAATCTTGAAGTCAGAAAACTGGAGTGAGGGTTGAGTATACTCTGAGATTCCATAGGTGTACCCTCCTGAGTGTGTTCCTGTTCACATCAGGAAAAATATCTTCTACAGCACAGCTGTACTAAGGCACTTCATTAAAGTGCCTCATACATAGATTTTTATTAATCTTAGAAAGAAAATTAATAGGAAAGATCACAAAACTGTCAGGGATGAGTTATTATATTATTTCAGTTATTTTCTAGTTTGTGTAATCAGTGTGTTGAAAGTACATATAACTGCCCTGGCCAGTTTGGCTCAGTGGTTAAAGCATCGGCCTGCGGTCCGGAGAGACCCGGGTTCGGTTCCCACTAAGGGCACGTACTTCGGTTGCAGTTTGTCCCCGGCCCTGGTTGGTCGTGCGGGTGGCAGCCACTCGATGTGTCCCTTTCACGTCGATGTTTCTCTCTCTCTCTTTCACTTCCTCTCTCTCCCTCCCACTCTATCTGTACAAAAAATGGAAAAATATCCTCGGGTGAGGATAAAAAAAAAAAAAAGAAAGTACATATAACTGTAATTTTGGATAAAAATTTTATTTTTTAATTTTTTTTTTTATTAATTTTATGGAGAGAGGAAAGGAGAGGGAGAGAGAGATAGAAACATCGATGAGAGAGAACATCGATTGGCCGCCTTCTGCATGCCCCCCACTGGGGATTTGGCCCACAAGCTAGGTATGTGCCCTGACCAGGAATTGAACCGGTGACCTCTTGGTGCATCGGCTGACTCTCGACTAGTGAGCCACACCAGCTGGGCTTGGATAAAAATTTTAAATACAATGTTCATAAAGAATATAAAATTTCTGACTAAATGACATGAAACAACATGCATACTTTGCTTACTTGATTTTTCAATATAAGCAAATATAAAATTAGAGAATAAGAAATATATAGTTTATCCTAGAGTACTGATTATAATTATTGGCTTTATAGGATGAAAACAGCCAAACCTCATAACCTTCAGAGAGTAGAACTAGAAAAGTTTCAGTCAAAAAGTAACTAAAATAATCAGGGTCGTAACAGATGAACGAAAAAGATCATAGATTATGATCCCAGGAAACTACTCAGAATGTGCTCAACCAAACTGAGAGTAAATCATGAAGGAGTAAGACAAGGGATCCAAACCAAGAGACAAGCAACTGTTCAAAGGGCCAAGAGGAAACCAAGTCCAGACTGGAATGGGAGCATGGGGACTCCAGAGTGAAGATGCCAAGAAAAAAGACATAATGGACACTATTTTATAGGTTTTACCAAATGTTAAGGTGATATTGAGAGGTGTTTTACAGAGGTGGTAGAAGGGAGAAAAGAAATGGAAACTATGCAAATGAAACAATGTTAATTCCAAAACAAAAAGGGTTAAAAAAGGAAAATAATCATCGTCCATTAGCTGGCTCGACAGAGAACAATACTTAATACCTGTGTGGTATCCAGGCCATAGCATAAAAATTAAATGCTACAAGCCATCTTAGACCTTCAATTTGTTGATTGTATATAGATGCAAAGGCAAAAAAAGTTTTTAGGATGTTAAATGACATACATTAATTAGTACCACAAATGGCAGAGGTATCAGTTGTCACAAGTGGGGGCACTCAGCCATCTATGTCTATGGATGGTCATGGTTTCAAGCATTTCGAATATACCAGTGACGCTGCCATTCTGAGTTCTGGTTCTAACTCTGCTTCTAAGCATGTAAAATTAGGGAGCTAACAACTTCCAGATCTGTAGTTTTCTGTAAGATTTGAAGAATTTGAAGATTTTTCATACTACGTCAGAATAAACACAGGGTCAAATTTGATACTCGAATTTAAAAGCATAAAAAAAAATTGGAAGTTGTTTATATTAGAAATAACTTTTAGCCTTAATATTAGCATTACAATGTGAGAAGGCTGAATATGTTGTTGATGGATAAGGCAAAGCAGACACAGGACAACTTGCCATGCAGAGCAGATGTCCCTAGCTCTGATTCATCTGCTTTATATTTAGATATTCTACAGTCATATTTGAAAATTTGTTTTCATTTAAAAACTGTAAGTATTCTTGGTTGATTTCCACTTAATAAAGCTTTTTAAAAAGTCCATCTTTCATTAAGTTTTTTTTCCTCCTTGGTAATGTGGTTTTTGGGTTTCAGATTCTACTAAGAATAAAACTATGAACTCATTCCTCCTCAAAAAAATTTATGCACACTTATGGGGGCATATGTACTTACAAACACATGACAATAAAACAAATTTTCAAACAACTTCATAGATTAATAAACAAATCTGGGGAGGGAGATATATTTTACACAGTCTTTAAAAAAGTCTTTCTTTTATATATTTTTATTTCTGTCTATGTTGATTTCTGCTGTCATACCTAAGACGGAGACTCAATTAATAATATTCTTAGGAATTTTCCTGCAAAGGATAACTTTCTCTTAATTGCTCTTTCTTAACAGTGAGTTTCTAAATAATTTCATCTAAACACGGTAAACTATGTTGATCTTAGGTTCAAAATATTAATTCGGAAGTCCTACTATTTTGGACTTAGCCTATTTGGCCCCCTCATTTATTCAGTGGTTCACCTGGTAAAACAGCAGGTCCTTGAATAACATCATCTCCCTCAATATCATTTCATTATTTGCGTTTGTTCAACTCACAGGCCTACTGACCATGTTACATGAGGACTTACTATACTTATAAACACATAATGGACAAAGACTATTTCATCTCCTTAACCTCACTGGCAATATGAATTTACCCTGGTTTTCTGGGAAGGTGTTTTAGCTGAGTCTGAGTTGTTTTGTTGATGCTTTCTACATTTCCCTATTACAAGATCAAAATTATAATCACTTGTGCCCTGGCTAGTGTTGCTCAGTTGGTTCAGCATCGTCCCATGCACCAAAAGGTCACAGGTTTGATTCCCAGACAGGGCACATGCCCAGATTTTGAGCTTAATCCTCGGTAGGGGTGCATGGGGGAGGTAACAGATTGATGTTTCGCTCTCACATTGATGTTTTTCTCTCTCTCTCAAAATCTATAAAAATATATTTTAAAAATATTAAAATCACTTGTATATTTCATCTTTTCTGAATATTCTATCCCAAACCATCTATTATTTTGTTTTTACACTGGCAGTTTTCTTCTTCAGAATAACTATGCACGATTTCACCTTAATCGTAAGCTCTTTAGGGATAACTATTCTATTCCTTTTCCCCCACTGTCCTTACCTGTGCAGCCTCTGCATGTTCCAGCATCTCTTCGAATTCCTGATACTCTTCATCATCTGGTTCTGCACCTGAGAGTCGAGCTGCTCTGGCCATGAAATACGGAGGCAGCTCTCCGATCGCTGTACCAACACCCTATGTGAAAAACCGAAACAGGCACATGAGGTTCTTTTCTCAACACAGTGACACTGAACACATCAAATCTATATTTCTCTGTATCACCAAAAGCATATAAAGATGTGTGTAGTAGGGAGAAAAGTATATATTAGTACATAATCGGGAGAATGTGAGTTCTAATCTTGACTCTAATACTGACCTATGCAATGCCAGGCAGGATACTATACATAAACCTGCCAGACAATCCGTGGTGTGTTGCAGACACAAAATTAAAGTCAGTTCTCTAGCATTTTTTACTTATACTCTTTTTTTTTTAAATCCTCAGCCAAGGATAGTTTCCCATTGATTTTTAGAGAGAATGGAAGGGAGGAAGGGAGGAAGGGAGAAAGGGGAAGAAGGGAGAGAGGGGGAGAAGGGGGAGAGAGTGAGAGAAACATCATCAGTTGCCTCCTGTACACCCCCGACGGGGGATGGGGCCTGCAACATTTTGGTGTGTGGGATGACACTCCAACCAATTGAGCCACCTAATCAGGGCTCTACTTATACTCTATTATTTTTGTCAGTTTTCCCCCATTTTCAAATACTCAAATAATTTGGTAATGGGCATTCAGTAGTATTAGTTATTAGACAAATATTTTCTAGGAAATCTAGTATTTAGGATGTTGCTTTAATCCCAACAGAACTTTTTTGTACAGAGTTAAAACTTTCAACAAATTGTGGTCAGGAAGTCCCTTGAAAACTCAACATTAGGATGGATACATTTTCACCACAGGAAAAATGTTTGTATTTCCTCAGGACATTGAGTGACTCATGTTTTAGTCTCTTTGTGGATTCTTGCTTTTGAAGAGATTTTTTTTTTCCAACCAACTCAGGATATAAGGATGAAAACAAAGGTAAAAGATTCAGGACCTTCGTCTGATCTTATATGGCTCAAATGCAGCACAGGTACAGTGCAGGAGGCATAGGGTCTCCAGGACAATTCTCATTTTGAGCCACCCTCCTCTGCTTGAGTCACAGTGAATGACAAAGGCATTTGCTCGTTCTCAGAAGCAACTTCAGGCCTTTCTGTTTGCTCTGTCCTATAGCTCTGCCTACAAATGCCTTGAAAAGACTCCCCAAGGTACATCATCAAATTCAAACAGTTTGTGTTCACAGTGTTATATTCCCATGTGTGGAAGCAATGATCTCCAAGTGAAAGTGCATCACCCACATGTGAAACAAGCTCTGAAGCAAGAATAAGGCTATAGTTAGTTAAACAAAGAGAAGGGAGGGAGAAGAGACATATACAGAGAAAAACAAAGGAACAGAACATAAATCATACTTTGCTGAACAGGAAAAGTTCAAGTTAGTGAACTTTGGAGGATGTTAGAAGACCAACTTACTATTTTAAAAATTGGTAACAAAAAGATCAATTATTTATCCTGTCTTGCCTATATGAAAGATATCTCAGTAATCAAATTGCTGATTAGGAGAAGGTTCTCTTTATAAAAGTATATCAGTCAATAACTAAAGAAAAAAAAATGATATAACTGGAACACCCCCATTCTATAACCCTTAATAATGAACTTATTTTTTTTTATTTTATTTATTTTTTATTTTTTTATCCTCACCCAAGGATATTTTTCCATTTTTTTGTTCAGATAGAGTGGGAGGGAGAGAGAGGAAGACAGAGAAAAACATCGATGTGAAAGGGACACATCGAGTGGCCGCCACCCTCACGACCAACCAGGGCCGGGGACAAACTGCAACTGAGGTACGTGCCCTTAGCGGGAACCGAACCCGGGTCTCTCTGGACCGCAGGCCGACGCTCTAACCTCTGAGCCAAACCGGCCAGGGCAATATTGAACTTATTAATAATGGTGCTAATACCACACACAAAATAGACAACCAGACACTATTGCACCTTGCGATAGAAATGCACAAGACTTTGTAGTTCACTCTTGCCAAAAAGAAATTTTTTCAAGCCTCTCAATTTATCAACTCACAGGAAACATAGGGAACATAGAAACATATTGAAACTATACCTACTGGAATACAATTAATAAAATCAGGGCTGTGGGGAACTATACTTGACAAACAATCCAGTTTCAATAACAATACATTTAGCCTGGCTGGTGTGGCTCAGTGGATTGAGTGCTGTCCCATGGACTGAGAGGTCCCAGTTCAACTCCCGATCAGGGCACATGCCTGGGTTGTGGGCTTGGTCACCAGTAGGAGGCATGCAGGAGGCAGCCGATCAATGTTTCTCCTCACATCAATGTTTCTCTCCCTCCCTTCCTCTCTCTAAAAAAAAAAACCAATTAAAACCTATTTAACAAAACAAAACAAAACAAAATACATTTGAAAAGAAACAAAGAAATAAATACAACCAAAAAATTTGAACACTAACTGTTTAATTAATTTGAATAGACTATTCCTAATTTCACTTAGGCATGATGTTTTTAAAATTCTAAGGTTGATGTATTCACTGATGAAATGTGATTATTTTATCTAGGATATGATTCAAGATAATTGAGAGCAGAGTGTAGGGGTATATATAAAACAATATTAGCCAGGAGTTAATATTAGCTGAAGTTGAGTAACAATATTTTGAATTCATTATGTAATTCTTTGTACTTAAATTTTTTCCATAACAAAAAGTAGGAAGAAAAGTTAACTGCAACATTTTATTTAAAACATGAACTTTCTCTTGACGCCTGTTAAGTCAAATGTTCAATAGTTCTGAAAGCAATCATATGATTCAAACTCATGACAAGTTTCCTTAAAGTTAAAAAGGAAGTAACAGTGGATTGAAGTGAAATCAAAAGCTACACAATGTCTTATACTTAACTGACCACACATTTTATATATATTTTGTTTTTTGTCACTTTTTTTTTTGTTCTCACCCAAGGATATTTTTCCATTGATTTTTAGATGGAGTAGAAGGGGGGGGGGGTGAGAGAGAGAAAGAGAGAGAGAGAGAGACACTGATGTGAGAGAGATACATCGATTGATTGGTTGCCGCCTGCATGACCTGGACCCGGACTGAGGACTGAACCTGAAACCAGGTTTGTGTCCTTGACCGGAAATCAAACCCATAACCCTTTGGTCCAAGGGCCAACGCTCTAACTGCTGAGCCAAACCAGCCAGGGCACACACACATTATATTTTAATTCTGTTCATGGTTTCCCATATTAGCAAGGTATAAGAATGGTGATCACAAGTCAGTATTCTATTTTTATGCAAATAAATAAAAAGAAAATATAATCATTCTGGCAGGTCCCCCAAAACACATTATATTCCAGACAAGGAAGTTTATTTAGCCAATTATCTCAAATTAGATACTAAAGTATCAAAACTTCATGATTCTTACAAAACAAGTTTATAATTCTTCACAATCAAAACAAAAAACAAAAAACAAAACAAAACTACAGAACACTAAAAGCCTGGGCTTAATAAGGGGAAGAAATGATTGGCTTCTTTACTGCAAAAGAAAGACAAGTAGTATTTAGTCAAGCAGAAGTTCAGAAAGCTCTTCAAAAAACCATCTACTACATACCAATGTACTACCCTGTAGTCCCTACTTCTTGAACTGGAGATTTGAATATGTACAAAAAATGCAACACCAAGAGAGAACACTGGAGTCTTCATTTAATTCAAAGATTTTTGGAAGTAGAAAAGTTCTAAATTTTTGTGCTTTTAAAAAGTTTTGTCCCAAGGTTTCAGGTTTGATCTCTAGTCAGGGCACATATGAGAATCAACCAATGAATATATAAATAAGTGAAACAACAAATCAATGTCTCTCTCTCTCTCTCTCTCTCTCTCTCTCTCTCTCTCTCCCCCTCTTTCTCTCCCCCTCCTTCCCTCGCTCCTCCCTTTTCCTCCCTTTCACCTTTCTCTGCCTAAAATCAATAAATAAAAATTAACAAAAAAAGTTTTATCAAGTGGATTCACAAGCAAATCAATAGCATCTTGTTTTCTATGTAGGGAATCATAAGTTTAATGGTAAGAATCTGGAGAGTAGAATTTTTTTTTTGTATCCTCACCTGAGGACACTTTTTTTCTATTTTTTGTTCAGATAGAGTGGGAGGCAGAGAGAGAAAGAGATAGAGAGAGAAACATCGACGTGAAAGAGACACACTGAGTGGCTGCCACCCGCAGACCAACCAGGGCCAGGGACAAACTGCAACTGAGGCACGTGCCCCCAGTGGGAACCGAACCCGGGTCTCTCCAGACCGCAGGCCAACGCTCTAACCGCTGAGCCAAACCGGCCAGGGCTGGAGAGTAGAATTTTTTTTATACATAAATGCTGACTACTAAGAAATAGTGGTAGTTTTGTATTATCAGTGTGTTAATAATCTTTAAAAACAAAATACTTTTTTGATTAAATATTCCAACTATAAACATGAGTCAGAGGTGAAAGGCATAAGTTTGGAGGTAAACTTAAAACCACTGAGAAATCCAGGGCTCTTCCACAAATGTTTAAAAAACAATTACGTCAATTCTAGTAAAATTATCAGATTGTTTTACAAACAAAAAAGAGAAAAATTTGCTTCCAGTTTTCCTTGAGTTCAATTTTAAAACAGGCTTTGAAGGAAGGCAGTTTTGACACAGGGTACGACATGGATGAAACTTGAAGACATTATACTAAGTGAACTAAGCCAGATGCAGAAAAGACAGATATTTCTGAGTCCATTTATATGGGGTATCTAGAACAGGCAAATTCACAGACAGAAAGCAGAACAGAGGTTAGTTACCAAGGGCCGGAGAGAGGAGGGAATGAGGAGTTATTGTTTAAAGGGTACAGAGTTTCTGTTTGGGACGACAGAAAAGTTCTGGAAGTCGATGTTGCTGATGGGTAGGCAACACTGTGAATGTACTTAATGTCAGAAAGTTGTGCACTTACAAATGGTTAAAATGGTGCCCTGGCTAGTTTGGCTCAGCAGTTAGATCGTTGACCCGTGGACCAAAGAATCACAGGTTTGATTCTGGTCAAGTGCACATAATGTACCTCAGTTGCAGTTGGCCCCCAGCCCATG